AACATTTATTTATTTATTTATTTATTTTATTTTATTTTATTTTTTTTGGTACCGGGGATCGAACTTGGGTCCTTGCGCTTGTGCAGCAGGTGGCGAAACCACTGAGCTAAATCCCTGGCCCACTTTTATTTTTTAATAAGTGTCCAAATCCACTTTTTTTTATTGCTTAACTGATTTTAATAACATGACATAAAGTCCCTAGACTTGATATAATCATTATGTAAAATACATAGATGAATACTGTCTTAACAATGTAAAATAAATAAGCAAGACATGTGAAAATAGGCAGGTTTCCACTGAATAAATGAATTTTTTAAAAAAAATTTTTTTAGGGCCGGGGATTTAGCTCAGTGGTTCTGGTGCCTGCTGCCCCAAGTTCAATCCCTAGTACCAAAAAAAATTTTTTTTTATTTTTGTGGTGTTTTGAGACAGGGTTAATCTTTGTAGTTCAGGCTGGCCCTGACCTTATTATGTAGACCAGGCTGGCCTCAGACTCCCAAGTGCTGGGAGTACAGTTGTGCACCACCATGCCTGGCATAAATGAAAATTTTAAAAAAGAAAGTTTTCCTTTCCACGTCATTTGAAGAGGGGAAATTATTTTAAACAATATTCAAGTTTATTAAATAAATTTTAAAAGATATTATAAAATGTTTAACTTTCATCAGCTTCAAGGTTTATGTTGCTGCCAAATTTTGCATATAACTGAACTTTCAAATCTGCTAACACCTGCTGAATTGATTCTACTCTGGATTCCAAGCCATCAGTTTCTTGCACATTTTTCTTTGCTTCTTCTAACATTTCTTGTGTTTTTTCTTGAGAATGACTAATGAAAATATCACCAATTTGGTAAGGTATCATTAAGCAGTCATCTGCGAACATGATGTCATCACAAGCATCTTCTAAATTCTGGAGTGTTGAGTTTGATCCCTGGTACCAAAAAAAAAAAAAAAAGGAAAGTAAATTCTGGAGTGTTAATGGAAATAGAACTTTTGTATATAGGGAGGGGAGGGGGCTTCAGGGGGGCAATGGGATAAAATTTAAAAAAAGAAAAAATAAATTTTGAAGTTGTTTCTTTTTTATTCTATTCCTTTAGCTCTGTGATTCTACTTGTATTCTGGGAAAATTTGTTTGTCTTTTGTTGATCTTCGAAAGTAACATTGACATCTTCTGTAGCCACCTTCTTCATGGTGGCCACCATCTTGGGACTGTGTAGCTCAGGCTGGCCTTGAACTCACTGTGTGGTCAAGGCTGGCCTCCGACTCATGGCAATCTTCCTACCTCAGCCTTCTGAGTGCTGGGAGTAGAGGTGTGTGCCACCATACTCAGCTACCTTCCTACCAATTTGTGTGAGCTCTAATTTCTTTACATTTCCATAAATATTTGTTATTTTCTGTTTTGTAATTTTTGTTATTTTTTAGTAATAGTTATCCTAATAGGTGTGAAGTGGTATCTCATTGTGGGGGTTTTTTTTTGTGTGTTTTTTTTTGGTACTGGGGATCAAACTTGGGACCTTGTGCTTGTGAGGCAGGCCCTCATTGTGGTTTTGATTTGCATTTCTTTCATAATGAACAATAGCGTATCTTTTCATGTGCTTATTGTGTACATTTAAAAAATTTCTATTTTCTCACTTGATTGGGAAAGATATGTTGGCTTTAACTGTTGACCTGGCATTCACAATCCCCCCCCCCTTTTTTGTACTGGGGATTGAATTTAGGACCTTGTGCTTGTGGGACAGGCGCAGTGCCACTGAGCTGAATTCCTGGCCCTCCCCATTATTTTTAAAAATTAAATATACTGACTGTTTCCCTCTTTCTCTCTTTTGTCTTTTTAAAGATGGCTCTGAGTAAGTCAATGCATGTAAGAAATAGATACAAAGACAAACCACCTGACTTTGCATATCTGGCATCCAAATATCCAGATTTTAAGCAGCATGTTCAGATAAATCTGAATGGAAGAGTAAGGTAAGTAGCAGATGAAAAATTATTAATGCACTATCATTCTAGTGTGATCTGAATGGACACAATGTAATGGAAAGCAAGTTGGACTTTTAGAAGACCCGAGTAGTAATTGTAGTATTTCATTAAACATCTTATGTGATCTTGGACAAATCACTTAGTCTCCTTCAGTCTCAGTTTATTTTAATCTTAAAATAAGAGGATTGCTGGGTATGTATGGTAGCTCATGTTCTTAAGAGGCTGAGGCAGGAGGATTATGAGTTTGAATCCAGTCTGGGGTGCATAGTGACCTTGAGGTCAGCCTGGGCTACATAGCAAGTTTGAGGCCACCTATGGACTACTTGATGAGGTCTTGCCTCAAAAAATATAAATAAGTAAAGAATCAAACAGAGAATGAAGGCTGGAAATGTAGCTTGGCGGTACAGCACTTGAGGATGAGAGGACTGGACCAAATGCTTCTAAGCCTCCTCCAGCCTTGAAGAAAAAAAATTCTACTAATGTCTAAATTATTTCTTACCCTACATTTTTTCTAGAATACTGCAGAGACTAGGAATGTTTTCTGTGTGATCTAAAACTTCTTGACTGGTGAGGGTATAATTTTTTTTGGTACTGGGAATTGGACTTAGGACTTTGAGCTTGCCAGACAGGTGCTGTGCCACTGAGCTACACCCTCAGCTAAAGATAATTTATAGTTTTATTTATTTATTTATTTTTTGGTACCAGGGATCGAAGGCAGGCGGGGGAACCACTGAGATAAACCCCTCGCCCAGGATATTATTTTTTTAAAGTATGTGTTTATTTTACTTTGAGGCAGGAAAATAATAACTAGAACAAGCCGGGGATGTAGCTCAGTGGAGTTGTGCCTGAAGGTCCTAAGTTTGATCCCTGGTACGAGAAAACAACAACAGCCGGAGATTTAGCTCAGTGGTTCCACTGCCTGCTGAGCAAGGTCCTGAGTTTGATCCGAGGTACAAAAAAAAAAAACAACAACCACAGGACTCAAAAAACAAAAACAAAAAAACAGAACATGAAAACTGGTTTCAAAAAAAAAAGAACAACTGGTTTCACAGGTATTATTACTTAAAATACTACTAAATTTAAATTAATTTTTGAAAATTAAGAAAAATCTGGCTGGAGGCATAGCTTAGTAGTACCACATATGGTTACTATTCATGAGGCCCTATGTTCAATCCCTACCACACAAAAATCTAAAAAAAACCCCCCCACACAAAAAAACAACCCTGGAAAACAGTGACTAATGCCTTGTTTTACTTTACAAAAGGATTTGAAAATTCTAAGCCTCTGGTCAGAGGTTCACCTTTTCGGGGGAAGGAGCTGGAGCAGGGTGTGAGGAACGAGGGAAGGTAAAGAATAGCAAGGTCCCTGGGCTTGAAGCTTTTGCCAACCTTTTTACTCCTAGTACTATCCTTATAGCATTAGAAATGGAGGCCTTAGGGTGGATTAACCCAGGGGCCAAGACACCCTTAACATTAAGTAAAAGTTCTTTAAAAATATGTTATGCTCATTTTTCTGGGAGTTAATCCTTGGCTTTTTTTTTTTTTTTTTGAGACAGTCTTACTATGTAGCCCAGGCTGATCTCAAACTTAAGGTGGTCCTCTTGCCTCGACCTCCCAAGTGCTGGGATTATAGGCGTGCACCTTGGCCAATCCTTGTCTTTCATAAAATTCTCAAAGGGATTTTTGATGTTTCTCTTTGAGTATACAAACATTAAGCTCAAATGCCCTAGAACAATGGCTTCCAAGCTTTCATCATTACTCTGTTATAACAGTTTTAGGGCAAAGGCCCAGCTCTGAGTGTTCCAACAGTGAAGACTTGGCCACCTGTCCTTAAATATCAGTCAAGGAGATGAGCAGTGATAAAGGGAAAACAAGGAGCTTTAATCAGTGAAGGACAGATATAGGGGTTCAAGCTTTCTCTAAAAGGAAACTATGAGGCTTTATAGAAAGGGTAAACAAAGGCAAGAGTGGTGGGGGAATTTGCATACCTGGCAGGGTAGATAATCATGGTCCGGTTGATCATTACATCAGTACTGGTTCTGCGAGGTAGCAGCTGAGAAGTGCATTGAGGGGGCAGTCTGGTTCCTATGAAGTGATTGGCACTGCTTGGGGAGGGCGTGATGTCATGGGATGATGTGTCTGTGAGGCTCTGCTTTTCCTAGAATCCAAGGTGGCTACAGGTTTAGGACAATGCCTGGAGGCTTCTAGGGGCCACTGCAAGGGAGTCTGGAAGAGGATATTGTAAAAGTTGGCAGTGGGGAAATGAGATAGGGATAATAAACCTTGTATTACCAGTTTTTAGACAGACACTCCTTAAATGATTAGCCTGCCTGTGTGCAGAGTTGAGCAGGGATCAGACTCAAAATTTCAAATGAATGAATGAAGCAGATAATAAAATGAAGTCAGAGATGCCAAGTTTTTTTCTGCTTTTGATTACTCATTGGGCATCAACAGCCCTTGCATCTAAGTCCTTCATATACAGTACCTCTACTCAGCAAAAAAATTGAGTACAGTCCATTATGTGCATGCTTGTCCTACTTACTGTGTTGGTATGTTAAGTACATTTAAGAACATACTTGAAAATAGAAATTAAAATTATATTTAAGTGAGAATTCTAATATTTTCTATGCATTTTCTTTCTTTCTTTTCTGTGCATTTTCAAAAGAATCATTTTGACACTTAGGATGGCACCTTCAAAAGACAGAATTGCCGTTTCTCTTTGTTTATAGCATTGCTACCATTGTTCTTAAATCTTAGTTAGGAGTATTAGTCAGTGTTTCACTACTGTAACAAATACATGAGATAAATCAACTTGTAAAGAGGAAAGGTTTATTTTGGCTCATGGTTTTGGAAGTTTTGGTCCATGGTGGCTCTATTGCAATTTTAGGCCTGTGGTAAAGGAGCGGATTGTGGCTGGGAGTGCTTGATGGGCAAAGCTGCTTACCTCATGGCCACTGGAAGCAAGAGGAAGGGTTGAGGGGCTGTCCTATAATCATCAAGTCCCCCCCAAAAGAAACTTACCACTAGGTGCCCCCTCCCAATAGCATCAATCTGGGGGCCAAGCCTTTAGTGTGGGCCTTTGGGGTACATTATTATGGAACTTAATTATTTAATCAAACTCTATCAAGTGGCCACAGTTTGCTCCATTCTAGGAAAGCCATAATAAACTAGAAAGAGGGCTGGGGATTTAGCTCAGTGGTTCCGCTGCCTTTCTTGCAAGCGCAAGGACCTCAGTTTGATCCCCGATACCAAAAAAAAAAAACTAGAAAGACATAGTGACTGCCACATTTGAGTTTATACACTGGAGGGAAAATTAGACAAATACAAAAGCAGTTAACTTTCAGTGTGGCAGAACTTGTGGTCTGAGCAGTGGGATCGTGTAGGAGGTAGATCAGATCACAATTTTGGGATTTAGAGAATGATTTGACACAGAAATGGTGTCTTACTGGTGCTTTCAAATAAAATAGGAGTTGGCTAAGTAGAGGGACGAGTGTTCCAAGTAGAGGGAGAAGTGTGTGCATAGGACGCTGAGCAGCAGGGGAACTGAAAAAGTTGATCATGCTTAGGGTGTAGTGAATAAAAGAAGATAAGACTGAGAAGGATCTAACTGGCCATACTTTATTTACAAGGTTCACTAAGAAGTTTGGAATTTATCTTAAGGACAGAGTATGAGGGGGTTGTATCATAATTACGTATCCCCATCCTTATCCACTAAAGGTTTTTTTCTCTTTTTTGCGGCAATGGGGATTGAACCCAAGGCCTTCCATCCCCAGCCCCTTTTTAATTTTGTAACAGGGTCTCCCTAAATCCCTAAGTTGTCCAGCCTGGGCTTGAACTTGGGATCCTCCTGCCTCAGTCTCCCAGAGTGCTAGGATTACAGGTATGTATCACCATGCCCAGCTTTCCACTGAAGTTTTTTTTTTTTTTGGTACCGGAGATTGAACTCAGGACCTTGCACTTGCAAGGCAGGCCGCGGAACCACTGAGCTAAATCCCTGGCACTCTCCATTGAAGTTTTATAGCAAGGGATAACGTTTCAGAATTGTGTTTAAGTAGATATCTATATTCTAGGACCATTGTGGATTTGGATTGCAGGAGGACTAAGAATGAAGGTAGCTGGGTGTGATAGTGCATGCCTATAATCTCTGCATTCTGGGAGGCAAAGGCAAGAGGATCCCATGTTTGAACCCAGGCTGGGAAATTCAGTGATTTAGCAAGACCCTGTTTCAAAATAAAAAGTAAAAGAAGGGTTGGCGGTACAGTTCAGTGTTAAGGCCCTGGGTTCAGTTTCTAGTAAACCTCACTCCCCTGCTCCAGCACACGCACATGGACATGCTTGTGCATGCATGTGCACTTACTCACACACAGAGGAAGTAAAGGGAGGTAGGTAGGAAATGGTGTTTTTTTGGTACCAGGGATCGAACTCAGAACCTTGCACTTGTGAGGCAGGCAGCGGAACCACTGAGCTAAATCCCTGGCCCGGAAATGGTTTTAATAATCCAGATTAGATGTAATGGTGGTGGTAGAGGCACTTAGGATAGAGATTTCTGGATGAATTTGAGAAAAATTCATGGATAGAATTAGCAAGACTTGATGGAAATGAAGACCAGAAGAGCCAAGTACGATGCTTGGGGTTCTGCCTTAGCAAAAGGGCAGATAGCATTTCCTGGGGTATAGAACAAGGCGTGGGGAGGAGCTGGGGTTTTTGTTTTTGTTTTTTTACTTTTTTTTAGAATTTTTTGGAAACAGGGTCTTGCTTTGTAGTTCAGGCTGGCTTGATCCTCCTGCCTCAGCCTCTGGAGTGCTGGGATTACAGGTGTTTGCCACCATGCCCTGCCTGGGAAGGAGCTGGTTTGAGGCTGGAGTATTTCTTTTTTTTTTTTAAATCAAAAAGACAATTTATTTGAAGGTGAGGAAGGAGGGGGTAGTGGACAGACATGGCAGACAGCAAATCTGGACCAGTAGGAAGTATTCGAAAGTAACTTGAGGC